TCGAAGAACTGAAAGTACTTTCATCATCAGCAGCTCCATTAGGGTAATGGAACTTGAAGTCGTACTTTTTATCCAGTGCATTCCTCGAGGTATGTTTAAAAACAGGATAATATCCGTGCGCATATTGCTATTACTGTTTATGATTTCTCAAACATGGTTGACACCAATACTTCATTATTTTATACATTCACCAGATATCTCGCCATTTGATCACGTTTAGGACTTCATTCAAAGGCAATGTGCTTGCGACACATGTCTTGCAACCAGTACGCATCAATTTTGCGGTCGGTTAGAACAATGCAGAATGCTATTTCTCAGGTCATCATTGCAAACCTATTTGAGTCAATACCACGAGCAATAGGAACACTTATTGCAGAGTTGGCAACTTCATCAAATACTGATGTGGAGTCTTTGATATTTTTATATTACTTTTTAAATTTATTCCTATTCTTCTATCACTTCATGTTAGTACATAATATAAATTTCATTTAATTCTGATGACGCTATTGTTATATGCCAAATTTCGGCACCAAATTTCGAGGGTCACGGTACCAAATGTTATATTTGGGTTTGTTGATAAATGTTATATTTGTTTGTTAGTTGTTGTACCGCAATTGCTATTGTGTCGCAATAACCCGTAGTATTCTAGCAAAGAACTGAGGGTAAGATGCGTGAACTAGGAAATAAAATATAAAATTTAACTTACCCCAAAATGACAACATTGACTCGTTGAAACAATTCACAATTTATTAATTAGCCAGACTGTAAAAGATATATATAAAAAAATATCGCATTGCCAGACATAAAACAACTGATACAAGGCGCACATGAAGCTGCTCGTGAGTAACAGATGAAGTCCAGACAAATCGTATTTCATCCGCGAAAATAATGTCCTTACGGGAATAGCACATTTCAGTAGAGTTATCTACATTAAAGTTGCTTACGTTTTTGATGAAATTAATTCAAATGCAGTTACAGTTCTAAGTCTTAGACCACGAGAATTAGCACGTGGCTCTGTGACTTCTTGAAACGAACAAAAGTCTGATGAAATTTCGCGCAAAATATCTTTCGTCACAAAACATTATCAGAAGAAAACATCATTCTCGAGAAGCTGCCTTCCAGGCAATTGACCAAATAAGTTCCTTTAATATGGATTTAATTCGATGAGACTGCAAAGATGAAAAATAGAGCGAGAAACTGGTTTCGTCCTTCAAACTCGCCTCGTGGTCAGTCCCGGTTGCAGTTAACATCTCATGTGGAGGCTTGCCTTCACAGCTATCATTGTGTTACAGTTTTATAATCTCAGGAGTATATTTAGGTTATTTTTTTTATTTTATAACACAAATAATGACCTGGCGTACTAGATGTGAATTATAATCTGATAGGATAAATTACATTTCATTTTTGGTTTCTCTTTAAAGAGATTTCATTTTCATTTTCTTTACCTTCAATAAATTCAAATATTCGTCTCTTTAAAGAGAAACCAAAAATGAAATATAATTTATTATGATATTTCTCTTGAATTGCAGGATATACATAGCATTTTTTCTAGAATAGAAAGCCTGAAACATGAAATAACAATTCAAAGATGTATGATTTAAGGATTAAAAAAATGAAAAAAATACTGTTTCAATCTTAAACAGAAAAAGTAGAATGATCATTAATTTCATTTCTAGACTAGCAAGAAATCATTTACTGGAATAGGGGAGAAAAGGAAGGTAAAGAAAATGAAATGTTGAGTTGTTACTCCATTTTTTTTTCAAATGAATTCAGTGTGAAAATAATTTAATTTCTCAGAAATATTTTCGAAATACAAAGCTGTGTTGTTACGATAGCTGGTGTGTTATATGCATATATAAACCATAAAATGAGCAAGAAAACTATTATTATTAACAACGTAGTTGATCTAAATGCTAAGTAAAATCTGAGTTTATGTCTATAAATGACCAAAAAGCCATTTGCTACATTTTTAGGCGTTTAACACATTCATCGCTGCAATGACGCTCTTTTGTTTTGTTGTTGTTAAATTTCGGGAAAACGGAATAGTTTGGACTGGGATGACGCTGAAACGTAAGTTAATAAATCGCTAGAACACCCAATAATGTTAAAAGAAACTTTGCCTAAAGAACGAGTTATCCCTTTGCTAGCACTTTAGGAATATTATTGGAAGACGAGATATCTCGTCCGTAACAGTGAAAGTGTTAACACTTCTGTATTTATTATTCTAGCTTTATTTAATCATAATGTCCAAATCATATATTTTAAAGCATCAGGATTAATTTCATTTTTATACCAAATTTAATAATGAATAGCATTCTTTATCTAAAAATTCCAAAAATTAAGGATGGCTCTGGCTTAGTCTTATGACAATTTTCAGCACACTTCGTTCCTTACATATTCAATTTTGTAACTCAAATTTGTACAACAAAGAGCAATTTAATTTTTTTAATTTGATCCGAAAGATGCTGGTAATATTAAAAAAAGAGTACAGAGGAAAGAAGTTACTAGACAAAACACATGACTCTGTTGTTGCAATAAAATTAATTACGCTGTTCTGCCTTAGGACTTAACTTTTATTGAGCTAATAATAAGACCATATAAATATTCAAATGAATCGCGCTCAAATTGGTTCATTGTGTGTAAACAAAGAAAACATATTAGTAAGAATTAAAGAATTAAGAGCTACAGGATCCTTATACGAAACAATATAATTGAAAGAAACTCTTTACGAATTGGGAAATGTTTGATTTAGTAATAAAGTTACACTAAATATATCTCATGTGTTGTAATGTTTAACTAAATAGGTAGAAGAAGGATGTTAGAAATAAGTATAATGAAGACTTTTTCTTGAACTTCTTTCAGCTGTTTCAGAATGACATAGCAGTTTCTCATCGAAAACAAATGTCTTCTGAAAATGTAACGATTAGCACCGCACTTCCTATTTCTGATGAGCATGGATGGCGTTGAAATGGAAAATAAAGCCCTAAGACTATTGAATAAAATTCTTTAGAAGCATGTTTACAACACGAGTTGAATAAAATTCTTTAGAAGCATGTTTACAACACGAGTGTCTTCTTCCTAATGGCTATACGCACGCATGTTTCCCAGATCTCACCTTACTGAGCACGAACTAGAGAAAAAAAAATTCTCATTTAAATATTTGTCTAGTTCTACTGAGCTGGAAGCTTTCAAATTAGTATCTAAATAGATATTTCAATTAATATTGTTGCATACTACAGGTTCGTGAATTTGAAGAAATTGATTATAACAACTTGATGAAGAACCAACACACAATTTATTCGCCAGTATTACACAGGACAGTTCCAAAGACACGTTTGCAGTCATCGAAAAACCCGCTAAAGCAATCATTAACACAGCATTCGGGATATAACGGTGAAGAAAGCTTCAAAGCAAAGCACTAGCATCACAGCATCACAGTTCTCGACTCTGTATCTCTATTGCTGGAGTCGATTGCTCTCAAGCTAATCTCTTAACTCAAGGCACTCAAGATACTCCGCGTTCAGGCAGAATATATATTGAACCTACCTAAATTACGTTGGTAGGTTGGTAATTTTCAAGAATATTCTTGAGAACGCGTTCTAGAATGTTCTCGCTCCGTGTATGGTATATCGTCAATTTTGTAGCCAAATATCGACAAATGGGCGATTTTGCGCCAAATCCTGCAATTCTGCCTTTTCCTTCAACTTCCTGGTAACCTAAACTAAGGGGGGGACTATCTTACCGCATGTGTGCATTTCTCAACAATATATTTATATACATACTTGAACATTCCCTTAAAAAAGAAGTCGTTCTTCGTATATGACTGGATTTATTTCAAAAATTCCCTTAAATTATAGTTGAGGATTAAAAATCATATAATAATATTGAATATCCAAGAACACTTTGCGATAAAAGAAAAATTTCGTAAAATTATTTTGAATAAAAAATATAATTTTTGTATTAATTATTTGAAGAAAAAAACTTCCTACTCAGTGAACTGATTTCTTGTTTCGTCATATCAGAACATAATTATACAGACTATTTTAATGAGTGCACTTCACGACTAAATATTAATTCAACAAACAAAAGATTGCAACAATTTCACACGAAATCTCTTCACTCACATTTACATATTAAATACTACAATACTATATTTCATTATGGAATTTCAGTAATTTGCTATTTGATGTTACGTACGAATCCATAAATTTATTAGTTTAACTCACATACAGTAGAAAACAAAAATGCCTATGTCACGTGCTGTCTACTGTTTTTAAATAGCAGTAATCCTATCGTTTTGAAAAAACAGTCTTTCGTGCTTCAGAAAATTCATTTAAGAATACTAAAGGAAAGCAATACATAATTCAAAACTAATTTTCGGTATTCATTAGTTTTGAATTTTGTTGATGTTGTTTGAGTTATGTATTTCACGAAACACGTAACTATATTTAGGATATTACGTAACTATATTTTGAAATATTTAGGTTAATAAGTCTCTTTATAGTTTTTGGACCATGCGAAATTTGGATGAACAGAATTTGGTTCATTGCAAAATGTTTAGATAATCACTTTTTGAAAAGTAGAATCAAATTATTTAATAGGATAGGAGGCAATTCCTAAAATTGAGGTGTCTTAAGTACTTCTCAATGCACATTTAATATAAGTTATAAACATCAAAAGTTAGCAAATATATTCGCTTGCTTAAAATTAAGTTAATTAAAAATAAAAGCTTAATTTCCTTATACGTTTTCATTAAATGCAAATGTTTCTACAAAATTAATAATTTCTCTATGAATGCATTATTAAATCAGATCTTATGTATAATATTCATGACAAAACTGATAACTTCGAAGAATAGTATATTAAGGAAAGCGTAAGCAAAATGCTATACCAGGTTTTGCGGATAATATTTACTTATTGTATTGAAGGCTTATTATATGTGATTGAATTAAATCTGTATAAATCATGGAATCACATAGAAAGCGAAAATTGGTACTCACATTGTACTCTCAGATACACATGGTTGCTTTCACCCTGGCCTTCACTGTTAGTTGCAGTGCAGCTGTATCTTCCTCGATTATTCCTATTGACCTTTTGAAGGACTAAAGATTGATTACTGATGACCACACCAGCTGTCAAATTGTTCTGCAAATCGTATCCCTCGAATCGCCAGCCAGTTTCGGAAACCCAGGGATTAGCTCGAATATTACATTCGAAATAAACATCCATGTCTTCCAATATATTAGAATGACGAAGTTTACTTCCCAGTCGTAAGTTTAGCTGCGGCACATCTACAAAAAAGGAATCAAATAAAAAGGCTTTATAGTACCAAATAACGGAAATGTTAATGATGTCAATGTCTTTTGATTAATAACATACACAATTAAACTCGCAACTGATTTTTATTATTTTATAAGACTTCTTCAGCCATATTAAATTATTGTAGTATTCAGATATAATCAATAATAGTAGTATTCAGATGAGTAAATATTCTTCTGATTATAGAGACATGCTTAATTAGATATTATACCAATCCACAAGTACACACTGATGTTAAAAAGATAGGTCTGCGAAACACTGACAGTTTCGTAGAAAATTTGATGTCCTCTGGCAGGAAAAGTGTTTCTAGAAAATGACTTAAGTGTTTTCTCCATTAGTAATAAACATATTTGAAGTTTTCTATGAAAGTATTGGGTCATTCCAAAAATTAATGCAGTTATTTTTAAATATTGAAGCTAAAAGCTGGAGGTCGCTTGTATAAATTACCTGCTTCAACGTACTATAAAAGCAGGTAGTAATTTTATCTTCTAATCTTAGTGAAGATTTTTGAAGAGTGCAATTCGATTTTAAACTTATGTTTTCAAAACTAAATGGGAATGGAAAAGGGCATATTTTACTTTCCGAGTTAAATTAGATAATTATTAGCAGAATTATAAATACAGTACACGTATATTGGACAATAAGTTTAAATGTCAGCGGTGGCCCCCTACAAATTTTGAACGAAAACCTACAGCCCTAGAGGCCAACATGCCCCTTCGTAAAAGATGTATGTAGTTCGAGAAGCACGCCCCAGAAATCCTAGTGGAGCAAATTTCCTTTGTAACTATTAAAAACTAATATAGAATTTAAAAAAGTGCATTTTAGGTTATTGTTTTTTGTTGTTTTTTCCACAGCTTTAGCTGCCATTTGCCATACAGTTGGTAAAAGTTTTCCTGGAAATTATAATTAACCTCTAACGGTATAATGTGCTTTTTATTGATTGCCAAAATTATTACAGTATGCTGTTTATTAGTGCAAAAAGTTAGTTAAGGTTCTTAACGAACGTTGTGACACTTTTTGCTGATAATCTATTCTTAATTACATAATTATTACTATATAAACCGCTGGCTATATTCAGAAGTATTCGTAAAAAGCATGAAATTCTTGCCAAGAGCTTTCGCAATTATGCTTGTTAATATAATCATCATTATTAGTATAATTGCAAAAAGATGTTCTCAACAACAAATGTCATGCACTTAAAGCTACAGATGTTTTCTTTAATATGGCTTCCCCTTTTTTTTCTATCTACATACAAGTATAACATTTATGAGAGAGAATAATGACACATCATTCTATTTTTTTGTTACGTGAAGCTGCAATGACAAAATCAAGATTTAATTAAATATAAAAATTAAGATCTTTACTTATGTGTTTGCTAAAAGTAAAATCCAATAACTGAGTATCAATGTAATTAAGTATATGAATTATATGCAACGGATCTGTAATAGGCAATCAACGGTAACGATAATGCTTGTAGTTATATATATGATCATAAAAAAATAAACAGCTGAGAATGATGATATTACAAAGATGAAAGAATATGGATACATAAAAAATTATAAAATCGAATATAAGTTACTTCGATCTTTCTTTCCTTCCTTTAAAAACTTACACAGAATAAAGGAGATCCTTGTCAACAAAATTATGTACTCATGCTATGATATTATATTACCTTTAGTACTCTTGCATAATATCTCATTCGTTTTCTACGCCCGATTTATGCAAAGTGGCATTATAGTTTCTTTTGAGATAACAGTTTAATGGCAAAGCGACATGATTAGTTTTGATCATGTGATGTTGGGTTAGAAGTAATAGATGAAGCCTGTTATGACTTTTTTCCCTCTGCATTAAAAGAAAAGGATACTTTCAACCAGTAAAAACCATCCCTCTGGCGTCTTGTTTTAGTGTGGAGAAATTAGTCTCAGTACGTTTTGATTAACTTTTGTAATAAATGAACACAAAAATTAAAATAAACCATATCTTTTGCGATATTAGAAACTGAAATATTATCTCTGTTCTTATACGCCTGAAAGAATAAGTATATAATGAAGAGGAAACTAATAGTTAAATTTGATTACTTTATTATGTAAAAATTTATACTTGTCTTAGTAAAATAATGTACACTCATCTCCATAAATTAAGGATAATTCGGAGTCACGTGGAAATCGAACTCTAAAATAAATATATCACCTGTAAAATCACTACACACATCTTCAAGAATCATATGGAAATTTCAGGAAATTACCAGATGACACCTATGGTACGTCACAATGACGAGAGTGTAAGAGAGTGATATATAAGGAATACAGGCAAAGAAGTCAAATTGTTCGCAGGCGCTTTATAAGCATTTCAGTGCAATAACCGAATAGTTATGTCACAGAGGACGCATTTGGATGATTTTTTACGTGGTAGAATTATCGGCCGTCTGGAATGTGGGCGTACCCAACTGGAAGTATCAGACGAACTTGGAATTGCCCAGAGTGTCATCTCCAGGCTTTGGCAACGGTTCCAAGATGATGGAAATGTGAGTAGACGTTACAGCACAGGTCGCCCCAGAGTTACAACGCCGAATGAGAACCGGTATTTGGCATTTACTGCCAAAAGAAACAGGCGGAGCACAGCAGCTTTCTTCAGCCACTGGTACAATTTCAAGGCAGACCGTGTACAGACGCTTAGGGCAGATTGGTCTATATGCTCGTAGACCTGTCCGATGCGTTCCACTTACTGCAACTCACTGTCGCCTGCGGTTAGCCTGGAGTAGAGAGCATGCATTGTGGACACCGCAACAGTGGGCTTGTGTGATGTTTTCCGACGAGTCTAGGTTTAGCTTGCAGTCTGATTCTCACCGGACTTTCATATGGAGAGCTCCAGGTACCCGTTACCACCAAAAAACATCACTGAACGACACCGTTACGGTGGTGCAGGAGTGCTCGTTTGAGGTGGAATTATTCTGTGTTCCAGAACTGACCTGCATGCTCAAATTGGAACCATGACAAGCCAAATCTATCGGGACGTCATTCTGGAACAATATGTACGTTTGTTTCGGGGCCGCATGGGCACACAATTTGTGTTTTATGGATGACACCGCCCGTTCTCACCGTGCAAACATCGTAAGCGAATGCCTTCAATCGGAGGATCTCACCCGTATGGACTGGCCAGCATTCTCACCGGACATGAATCCAGTAGAGCACGTGTGGGACATACTTGACCGACGAGTTGCAGCCCGTCAACCTCCTCCTACATGTCTACCGGAACTTCGGAGAGCATTGCTTTTTGAGTGGTGTAATATCCCCCAAGATCAGATCGATAATTTGATACTCAGCATGCCTAGGCGTTGTACGGACTGTTTTACATTGTCTGGGAAACATACAATGTATTGACAATCATGTATGTACTTATTGACATTGAATGTATTGACTTATATTTCGACTTGATTGAGGCATGTGCAAGGAATAAATGAATTGTTTGATTTACTACGCAATGAACAAATGGGACAGAACATTGAGCTTTCATTTATATTATAAAATTCATACAAGAGACTCCCATCTCAAATTATTGCCTATATTTTATTTAACGTATGTATTTAGAGAACATTTATCGGAATATTTTAAAATTTGTCATTTTGAGTGGTTTGTAAGGTTTAGATTTCAACACTCAGATTTAAAATAGACTATTTATTAAATAATTATTCTTTTTCATCGCAGCGTTAAAATAACACTTCATACGATAAGCTTCAACTATTTCATGAACGTTATTGGACATTAACAACGTTTTCAAATGGTTGAGGTTAACGACAGGATAATTATATAGCGCAGAACAAGAAAGTAGCTCGTCTTAGGATGTATAAGAATTTTTAAAAATTTGAATACTCTGAAATTGAGAAAATAGTTGCAAATTATGCAAATTAATATTCTTTATTAAGTAAAGAGTGATATATTAAATGTGCTTGTTTACAGAATCTAATGACCGAAACTATTTTGAAGTACGAATTTGCAGGAATAATATTTACAACTCAAATATATTGGGTCAGTCCAATAAATTCTTGCGCATTTTTTGGTAAATTTTTAAATAATATAAAAACGCAATTTAACATTTTAATCAATTATATATTTTTCTTCATTATCTACAATGCCTCGCCATCTTACGGGCAAATGTTTTGTGCCATTGCTGTAGAAAGACTCTGGTTTTGATGCAAAATAAACTTGAAAGTTCATTTTATACATCCTGTTTAGGATTTAATATTTTTACCAGTAAAAAAGAATTGTAAGGCAAGAAATAAGTGGAAAATCACTTGGGTCAATATATGGGGAGTAAGCAGGATGTGGCAAAAGCTGTCAATTAAATTCACTAATTTTTTGTAGCGTTGTTCGAGCCGTATGCGGTCTAGCGTCATCATGATGAAACAACACCTTTCTTGATATTCACCAATTCTGGGCGTTTTTAGATCAATTTGGAGTTTTGACGGCAAAGTTGTTCACTATAAACTTCTGAATTGATGGTTTGATTTGTTCTAACAGTTCAAAACGTCCTGAACGGGTTTCATCATAATTGCTGCTTTTTCTAGCTCTAAATTTTTAAAATCATTCCTGGGCTGTCCTTACACTAATAGTGTGTTCAACATGTACACTATTAATTTTTATCGCTGCAAACCTGGCAGATTCACCACACGAAAATAAAAATGTAGCACATCACGTTTGTACTGATTATCTATATTCATCTTCTATGGGTACTAAAATGCGTTCGATATTTACGAAAGTTGGTGATGAACTGAATAATATGTTATTCAAACGATAACAAGTTTCAACACTTTCAAAATTGTATTCTTTTAGTAAATGCGTCATAGTGATTTCCACGCATACTCTTAATGCGCACGAACTTATGGACTGACCCAATAAATAACACATTTTGCACAAGTTCTTGCACAGAAGTTTCCAGAAGACTAAATATCGTTTTAATAGTCGCTGATGGTATA